CCCCAAAACCCCAAAACCCCAAAACCCCATTATGTATTTTTTATCGAAATTGAGATAATTTGAAAAAATTATAAATTAGAGTTTAAAAACTAAATATGAGTGGGAATAATTAAACTGCTGGTAGCACTGCCTAATATACCTCTCTGAGATCAGAGATTATGAGTATGGGAGGAGTCACTAGTCTCCAACCTTAAAATAATGAAACTTTCTTTGGTGTTTTACCAATTGCAGAGAATGGCATTATGGGGTCCTTGACTCTTAAATCTTCAATGAAGATATTTACGTTCATTGATGTAATACTAGGCGTCTTTTTCCTAATGTTCTTGATATAAGAAGTTATTCTTGAATGGGCTTACTTTAATATTGGAGGTCCTCATTACTTCTTAACTGCTCATTATCTTATGAGAGTAGCTCATCTCCCTATTGGAATTATTGGATTGATGGGTCTTCAAAAATAGGATGTGGTTTTAGGAAGAGCATACTATCACCTAAACTTAGTTTAACTAGCTATATTCCCAGCACTAGGACTTTTGTCAACATTCGATATGTGCAAATCTTATGTGTATTACGAGCCATGCAAGAATATCTTTACAACAAATGCAGCTATAACAGTATTGAGATTACTATACTTCTTCTATGTTTCATACCTTGCTAAGTCTTATTACAGGAGAATTGAGAGAGGAGAATTAATTCTAGTCAATCATGGTAGATCTATTGTGGAATTAATTAACTAGGTCTAAAACAATTAAGCATAAAGAGGCAGAGATATCGAGCTTGTAGCTGTTCAGGGAGTTGCAATGGCAGAGGGAAAAATCATCCCACCAGGTGGACAATTAGAAGATATTGAGCTACCAAGTACCAAATAAACAAAGAAGGGAAATGACAATAATGGGAACTACAACTAACAAATAGACAGCTTAGATGCTTGATGTTCTTTCAAGGAGTTTAAGAAGCTTAATTTTTATGATGTCAACCTAATAATTAAATAATTATCATAATTTATGATTGATAACTGGTTCGAGTGTTATTAATGTATATGAACAAACGATCTTTTATCACTTTATTATATCAATTTTGCACCATGGGGTTTTGGGGTTTTGGGGTTTTGGGG